TTTTTTTTCATCTACTACGTGTCAGGCATTGTTCGAAGTTCTTTGCACGGGTTAACTCATTCTCATTTAATTCTCACAACACGCTATTCCCATTTTACACATGTGTAAAAAGATCCTAAGAGCCAGAGAAACCTGCTCAAGGTCTCATAATGAATGAGGGTCAGAACCACATGCAGCCTACTGTGGCCTGACTTGGGAGTCTACATGCACCTTGCTCCCCAGTTGATGATGATCTGGCAGCCCCAGCCCCATCACACCTCTCACATTCACCCACCTCTTCTCCCAGAGAGCAGTCCAGCCAAGGGTGTGAAGGTCTGCCTTGGGACAGTGATTGTAATATTAGTTGCTAAGTGTTTACTACCTGCCAGGCACTGTATTAATGCTTCATGTGTGGTATCTCATTCAGGCCTCATCACACTTTTTTTGAGGCAGGCATGCCTAAGGTATCTACAGACGGAAAGGTGAAGGGACTTGCTCGGGGTCACTCAGGGAACTAGGGATGGAGTCAGGACTTAAGCCTTTGTGTTGGTGGCCAGTGGCTTAAATGGGACTCTGGAGGTTGTTGTAGCTACTCACTGATCAGCTGTGAGGACTCGGGGGACATCCAGGGAGTTGTTCATTCAGCTCTGGACCTTGCATTATCAGATTGGTATGGACCCCATAAGGAAGGGTGTCAGAACTACCCAGTTGGAGGAAACAGTGGGAAAGCATCATGGAGAAGTCCCCAGAAGTAAAATCAGATATAAAGTTCGAAAGGACAGAGTCATCCAGAGATTCCTAAAGTGACCTTCCCATGAGTGGAGGTATTCCAGCACAGCTGGATATTGACTGTGACTATGAAGGAGATCTATGAAAAACCAGATGACATGTGAGGTCCTTTGTAGCCCTGTAAGTGTGAGTGTATAAATCTAATTCTGTCCTGGTTCAGAGATAGGCAGGATTCAGGCTTATCTAAAAGATCCTTGAATTTCTCTAAGAGGCAATATCATGCAGTGGAGACATCATGAGTTTCAGCAGCAGGGAGATCTAAGTTCAAATTCAGGCTAACTTGATCTGAGTTCAAATACAGGTTAATTTGTGACTTTTGGCAAGATACTTAAGCGTGGTGTCTCAGCTTTCATATTACCAAAGTAGGTACAGTAATGCCTACCTCAAAGTGTTGTGGGGAGGATTAAATGGAATAATGGTGCCTGGAACATAGTAGGTGCTCAATAAATGCTAATTCCTTTTCCCAAATATACCAAGAACCAGGCTGAGGAAGGGGTGAGAAACCTTGATGATCTTACATCGTCATATTTAAGCTCATTCTGCTATTGAAGAAGCAGAGGCTCAGAGAAGCGAGCTGACTTGTCTAAGTTCCCAAAGCAAGCTGGAGCGAGGCCACAATGAGTGCAGGAATTTCAACTCCTGGCCCAGGGACACTTCCACCCAACCCCAGGGCATAGGACAGACTGGGCGAGTCACCTCCCTTTGCTTCTGGGTCTCTGTAAAAAGGCTGACTTGAGGTGACTGACTTTGAAAGACCCCTTCTTGCTCCTCGGGTGGCAGTGCCAGTGACATTCTTTCCACCCCACCCGGTGGCTAGGACATGCTGAGTGCTAACCAGCTGCCTCCAGATCTCATGACGTGCACCCAAATGGGGGACAGATGGTAGGAACAGGAGACGCCCAGAGACTGACCCTTGGTGCAGACTCTGTAGACACTAGTCTGAGGACCCCAGCCCACCCACTAGCCTGAATACCCTGCCAGCCCACCCACCGGCCTGGGCCCTGAGCCCACCTGTATAGCTGGCCCTCACTGCCCAGCTGGAAATGCTCATACTGGGCATAGGTCTCGTGGCCTTCCCAGTCTTGCAGCTCCACACGCAGAGAGTAGGGTGCCCTGCTGGTGAGCTGGTACACCACCTCATTGCCAAGCCAGTGCTCCCCAGCTGGGTCTCCGAAGCCCTACAGGGAGGGGAGCATGGGGTGAGATTCATGCTGAGGAGAAGGCCATGTCCCTGGCTGAGGAGCTGGGCTGGGCCAGGCTCCAGGGCCACTTACACAAAACCACTGTGCTTAATGATCGAGTTCATAAGTGCAGTGTAGGCAGGCCCGGGAGTGGGAGCCCTCCACCTTCTAGAGGAAAAAGACTAAGACTCTCGTAAGTGTAACAGCCTGTTAAAAGTTATTGAAATCACATTCTTCTGAAGTTCAAGAACAGGAAAAACTAACCTTTGGTGACTACCTTTGGGGGAGTATTGGCTGGGAGGAGGCACAAAGTGGACCTCTGGGTGCTGGGAGTGTTGTACATGTAGCTCTGCATGGTGGTCACGTGACTGGATACATATGTAAGGATTCACTGAGCCTTACACTTTGGAATTTGTGCACTTAGCCACATGTGTATTAAATCTTAACAAAAATTAAATAAAAGATTTCAATCTGCTACATAAACAGTAGAGCAAACTTCGTTCAGTGACAGTGCAGCCACTGCAAGATTTCAGCAACATGGAAATGTAAAACTGAGTGTGGGGAATGTCATGTCCCAATGCCCTTGGACAGAGCAATAATTCAGCACCAAGGACAGGGGCACACACAAGGCCCGCTCCCAATTTTAGTCCCCTCACAGTATGGATTAGCCTGATGGTTAATATTCAGTGGTCTTTTGTGCATTTCTGCATCTCCACACCCTATTCCTCCTTTCCATTTTAATAATTGTTTAAAACCCAATTAGTTAAAAACACTCATAACTTAATTTGGAATTTATTTTTAAGGATTCTTTAAATGAACAGCAAGCAGACACAAATAATAAAACTGCTGTATTACCTTGTGGGTATCTTTTTCTATTTCTTTGGCTTTGAAAACTTTAAAAGCTTTCAAGTATTTTAAGTTAGCTTGACAAAAAATCCTTTATTCAAAACCTAATTAAAAATTGGGAAACAATCAGGCTTCTCATTTGATAAAATACACGTGCTCTTTGGGCCCCTTGTTAATGAATCTTTCCTGCAGAGTGGCCATGGATGTAGGAAAAGATAAGAAAATTCACTAAAGCAATGCAGTCAGCAGTGACTGGGAGGGGTTGTTTTTCTGTTCCCTCCTTTGTATTCTTCAAAATATCAGCAATGTATATGTATTATATTTTTAAAAAATTAAAACAAAACTAAAGCTAAACTTTTTTCTTAAAATATATGTAAGAACTTTCAAAAAGAACATTAAAATTCAGGTAATGGGGTCTCATAAGTAGATGTGCACCACTGGCTTTAGACAAGTTGATTTTTTTCTTGGGGAGGAATGAGGGCAAAGCAGACCCCCTCCAACAGCTCAGCCCCTGCCCCAGGTTTCAGAGCTGAATGGCCCCTCTCCAGGGCAGTAGGATTACCTGTTTGTAATCCTTCCAGTTCCGCTGGAAATTCACGGTGCCATTCTCACGGCGCTGGATGATGGTCCACCTGCCTCCACTGCTCTGCAGGTCACAGAACACCTGGAGGGGGTGGGCAAGGCACAGCTGGGAGCCCTTGGAAGCAGCCAGAGGCCAGGTCTGTGCTGGCTCAACTGTGGCTAGGCTGACAGACTCCCACAGAGCAACAGGTGAGCCTGGGGGTCCTGGGCATCAGAATGATCCAGGCTCAAACTCCCCATCCACTGTCATCATTTTTCTAAAGTGATGGGTAAGTGATAACCTCTCAGAGCCTTCCTCTCCTCATTTGTAAAATGGAGGTTCATACCTTAACCTCTTTGTGCCTCAGTCTCTCATCTGCAAACTGGGGTTGTGAAAATTAAGTGAGATGAGTCATGTAAAGTGTTAAGAACAGTGCCTGGCACATACTAGATAAATGGAAGCTTGGCCTCTTTTTGTTGAAAGGAGAGTTTAGCAGGTATGTGAACAGTGTAAAAGACAACCTGGAGACAAGCAGAGGCATTGCTCTTGGCATATTAAAAGGGAGTGAAAGGAAATTGAGTCATGGTGGCTCATGCCTGTAATCCTAGCACTTTGGGGGGCCGAGGAGGGAGGACCGCTTGAGCCCAGGAGTTTGAGACCAACCTAGGAAACATAGGGAGACTTTGCCCCTACAGAATGTTTTAAAATATTAGCCAGGGCATGGTGGCATGTGCCTGTGGTCCCAGCAACTTGGGAGGGTGAGGCAGGAGGATCACTCAAGCCCAGGAGGTCGAGGCTGCGGTGAGCTATAATCATGCCATTGCACTCCAGCCTGGGTGTCAGAGCAAGACCCTGTCTCAAAAAAAAAAAAAATGCTTATGAAGTGGGAATCTCTGTTAGTTGTTCCCCTTCTGGGCCTGGCTCTCAGACCTTCCCTCCTGACATCCATGCTCTTTTTGGTCACCCTCCTCATCTGATGACTTGACCTTAAAGTTTAGGGGAACTTTGGGAGCACAGGCACATGCCACCATGCCCTGGCTAATATTTTAATACATTCTGTAGGGGCAAAACCTCCCTATGTTTCCCAGGTTGGTCTCAAACTCCTGGGCTCAAGTGATCCTCCCTCCTCAGCCCCCCAAAGAGCTAGGATTACAGGCATGAGCCACCATGACTCATTGAAGATGGTGACTCCTCCATTAGCCCTGGTTTCTAACTTCTCACATAGAGCAGAACCCCAAGTCCTGCCTTCAACCAGGACTAGTTTAACTAGTCCTTTGACTGCATTCAACCTTTCTAGTTTACAACCCTTATATGTAAACTAGAAAGAAATGTCTTTATGCTAAGCCCCTGGAATTTTGGGGCTTATTTGTAATATCAGCTAGCATCATTTTAACCAACACAGAACTATTTCCTGTTGTTCCCGTGAATGCATCTCTGAAGTGATGCTGGCGAAGGATGCACTTCCAGCTTTGCGAACTTCTGCTTATCCCCACAATCTGACCCCTGACTGCTGGGGGTTTCAGAAGTCAAGGCCACCCCTACACCTCTGGTATTGCAGATACTGAACAAAGCCTGTTGCCGATGGGGTGAGGGGTGTCTGTCTGGGAAGCCCTTGGCTCAGCACCCTCTAACAGCCACAGTTCCCAGGGAGCCCCCTAACCTTCCTGGGCTTCGATGCATTGGACACCTGGATGGTGTAGACATCACTGGCATTGGCCCCAGAGCGCTGGATCTCTGCACAGTCCTGGAACACCTGCTCACCTGTCATCATGAAGGTTGCAAAGGGACAAAACAAAAGTCAGCTGGAGCCAAGGAAAGAGAGAAGGGGCAAAGTGGGCATGCCTGCCTGCTTTATGTTCTGGGTTGGGAGGTGCTGGGGACAGGGAGATGAGTCGGGCCTGGGAAGATTTTGTAGAGGAGGTGACAGTAAGCTGGGACCTGGACAATAAACAGGAGTTGCCCATGAGGAAGGGGAAGATGTTCCAGGCAAAGGAAACAGCATATGCAAAGCCCCCAAGGTAGGAAGGGCTCTAGTGTGTGCAGGGGACAGGGCATGGGCAGGGAAACTGAGGCTGAGGCCAGGGAGAGGAAATGACTCACACCATGAGAGAGGAGTTGAGGCCAGGGAATCTGCTTGCTGTTTGATGAAACTGAGAGGGTAGAACATGGCTGGCATAGAGAAGGTGAGGAAGGGAGAGGAGAGAGGAGGCTGAGATTTCAGCAGGGCCAGGTCAGCCTTGAATGCCAGGCTGAGGAGCCCAGATTCTCTGGGCTGAGAAAGAGCACTCTGGCCAGAGTGCGGAGCGGGGACTGGAGAGGATGACACTCCAAGCTAGGAGACCAGAGAGAAGGCTGCTGGTTTTCTAGGAGAGAGTTACTGGGGCCTGAACTTCAATGAAGCACTTCCCATTTCACAGACCAAGAAACTGAGGCTCAACAGTGAGAAAACTGGCCCAAGGGCACACAGCCAGGCAGGACAGAACCTTCCTTCCTTGGAGCTCTGTTGGGTGGGGGCTGTGGGCTCCCCTCCATAGCCCACACTTTTGGCTGGATCTCCCTGCTGCCCTGGGCATTGGCCCCCTTATTCTGTCCTTCCTGGAAGCTGACTGTTGGCTTTAAAGGGCCTCTGTTTCTTCCCTTTGGACTACATGAGATCAGGAGAGAATTTAATGACCAAAATCTCCCAGGGGTTTCTAGGCCTGGGCTGGAAAAAGTGACTGTTGACAAATAAAGTGCAGAGATTTAAAATCTCCTCTGTCTCAATTAGTGGGATCCAATTAGAGGTTTGAACTATGATTCTACGAGAATCCAATCTCTCTAGGTAGGCAGGTACCAGGATGGGGCCAAAATTCCAGTTGGATAGGTTGTCAACACCAACGAGGAACTGGGAGGCTACCACGGGGTAGGACTTCCTGGTTTGGCTTTACACCTGAGCTTCAGGGATCCCCCAGTCCTGGATCTGGGGCACTTGTCTGGAGAAGGCTAGTGCTCTCGTGCCACAAATGAGGTGACTAAGACCCCCAGATCCATCCCAGTTTGCCCACAAGCATTTCCTGGGTAGGGGTCTCCACTGCCCCACCTGTCAGCACCTCTCTAGCTTCCCATGGGGAACTGGAGTCCAGCCAAGCATGAGGAGGCTACTGACCTCAAGGTGAGCAGGGATGGGCCGAACTTCACCCAGTAAGGCAAGGACAGAGCCAGGGTTGGTCTGAGATTTCCAGCCACCCTTTCCAAGGCTCTGCTCACTGTTATTTTCCTTATTCTTCAACAATATCAGTAACAATAACAACAATAATATCAATGCTAAAAGTGAAATACTCACTTTTAGTGAAATACTCATGTTTCCAAGGTGTCATGTAATGGCAGCGGTAGTTTGAGGCCAGGAAAAATATTTTTGGGAGTCATAAGAATAGGATAAATGGGTATTGATATGCAATGGTTTGACCGAGTCCTCCTCTGAATCTCTGGGCTGGTAATTTGTACCAGTTTCCCTGTTTTTGGCCATAGGCACTGTGCTGGACCCCTTTGTATGCACGAAATCATCTGATTCTCTGTGTAAAAACTCTGTAAGATTATTATTCCCATTTTACAGATGAGAAAAACTGAGGCTCTGAAAAGTTAAATAAATGACTTGTGTGAAGTTCCAGTGCCAATAAGTGAAGGAGGCAGAGCTTGAACTCTGGCCCATCTGACTGCAAAGCCAGTGCCCTTCCTCCTATACATCTCCTCTTGGATTTCCACCACTGAGCATGCGCAAGGCTGGGGAAACAGCCTGCATTAACAATTGCTGTTTTTACATCGTACAAATGTAAAAACATTTTTTTTTTCTACCTGTGCCCTTGTCCTTGTAAACTTCTGAACCAAACGCCCCAGTGCCTGGAAACAGCAGAAGACTTGACTCTGTTTTCCTTTCACCAGCCTCCACCTGATGAGGACAAAGCTATGCAGAGAGCTAGGGCTCCCTTCCTGCTAGACTTCAAGGATGCCTGGTTCCTGTGGCCCATCTCCATCTAACCCTCTTTTCTACTCCTGGTGACTGAGTTCTTCAGTTTCTCCATTCAGAAGGGGGCGAAAGCAGCCTCCTAGTGTCCTTCCCTGGTCATAGTGGAGCACAGGGGCAGGGTGTTTGGGCAAAAGGTGCCTCAAGTGAGGTGTGCTACACAACCTCCTACTCAGATGTCTGAGCAGACATTCAGCCTCAGATGGAGACTGGGTCAGTGGTGGGTTAGTGGGAGAGGCATTGGGTCCAGCCCTGTGCCTTGGCCTAAGCTACAAGAAACCCACAGTTGGGATGAATTCAGGCAGCCTCACTGCCAGATCCATGCATAAGCAGGTAATGGGTTCGGGCTAATCCACATCTTGCAATTTGGAAGGTGTCTACTTTTCCTGCCTGTAGCTTCCTTAGGCCTCAGATCCCTACTTGGCTGGGTCTGCCAGACTTAGATGGAGCCAGGGTGGGGTCCTGTGTTCTCAAATCTCTGTCAGCCCTGGTGGTGCCTGGAGTGCCATCACTTCTGCATCTCAAAGGCCTTCCAGCCTTCCTTCATGGATCCAGGGCAGCAGTAGCCCTTTCCGTCTTTCTCTCTCATCAAGCCGTCTCCACTCACGGCTCCAGTAGGAGCTTCTTGAAAGCAGTCCCACTCTGTTCAAAAGCCTCCTGTGCCCCCTGCTAGCCTCAGGCTAAGAGCCCTTCTCCTTCACACAGCCTTTGGACTTGTCTGTTTTCATGGTCTGGAAACTTCAGGAACACTGATAGCTGAGCATCTGGCATACACTTGGCACTCAAAAACCACGTGTTTCTTTCTCCTTCCCTCTGGGACCCATAGACCAAGGACTAGATATTTTTGCAAGAGACAGAGGCCGTGACTATGCATTCACTGCTTTACCCCCAGCACCCAGCACTGGGCCTGGCACACAGTAAGTGCTTAGTACATGTTTGTTGACTGAGTGATTGCAGCTGGGACCAAGCATGCCTTGGCCACCCCAAGAAGGCTGCATTAGAAGGAGTCAGTGAGGGCCTGGGAGCAGGCCCAGGCATTGTTTTCCCTTCCCAGAAACCAGGGCCAGGGAGGCCTCCTCACTTCTGTCTGGCCCTCTTGGGCTTAGGGCAGGGTCATTAAGTTGAGAGAGGTCCTTGGGGTGCATAAAGTCCAACCTCCCAGTTCCTTCCCATTCTATAGATAGGGAAACTAAGGACAGGGAGGGGTAAGACAAGCCCAAGAAAGTGGAGCTGGAGAGTGAATTCTGGAGACCAAACTTGTCAGTCTGGGCTGCTGTTGCCCTTATCCTCACCTCCAAAACCCATGGGTAAACCGAGGCCAAGAGAAGGGCAGAGGCATGCCTAAGGTCACCCATGGAATCCGGGAAGAGGGTCTGGATTGGGATTGTTGTTATTGCTGTTTATTGTTATTTCTACTGCACAGATGGTCAGGGAGGGTGGGGCCCCGCAATGGTTTCCAGGCCACCAGAGACCCAGAAGTGTGAGCAGGGTCTCCCTCCCGTCTCCCACCCATCTCCAGCCGCACCGGGGCCCACCGCTCGCTCACCCGGGGCCGGGGCCGAGGCCTTAGCCCTTTCTTGCATCCTGTCCCGCCACACCGCCAGCTGCTGGCGCAGTTGGTGCTGCTGTTCCTGCAGGAGGCTGGAGTTGTGTCTGAGACCTTGCAGGCCGCGCTCGATGTTGGTGAGGGCGGCGCTCTGGCGGCTCAGTGCATTCAGCAGCTGCTCCTTCTTGCTGAGGAGGCTGGCCAGCTCCTCCTGCCGCTTCATTTCCAGGGCCTGCAACCGCGCCTCTAGCGTGCTGCCGGGTAGAGGGTGCACAGAGGTGAGCCTGCAGTCCTCGAGAAGCATGTACCCCACTGTGTGGTTCCCTTGGCCCCGGAGTCCCTGCAGCCCGACGATGAGACTCAAGTGTGGTGGAGCATCCTGTGCCCACTGTAGGCACAGATTGAAGAGGGGAGAAAAGAGATACCCAGCCCTGGCATAGTAAAGAGGTCCAGTAGAAGAAAGAGGTGGTGTGGAAGGGACACCAGCAACTGGGTAGCTATTATCAAATCCCAAATGTGCTTGCTTTTTGATCCAGCAGTCTACTCTCAGGAGATGTCTTCTAGGGGGCACGGGCAAGAATGGCCCTGGGGCCTTGCTTGTAATAGAAACAACAAACAACCCAAAAAACGATATAGCCCAGATGCCCAACAGCCAGGACTGGCTGAATCTGTTGTGTTTTGACATCCCTGGAAAAGCTCCGCAGCCATGAAGGAGGAGGCTGGGTGCATTTGCACAGAACTGGAAAGCTGCCCAGGACTTGGGTCACATCAAGTCTAACCCCATGTGTGGCAAGAAAAAAAAAAAAGACAGACAGAAAGTATTAATGTAAATATAGAGAAACAGGGTGATCCAGCCCCAGCCCCAGCCCTGGCTCTGGTGCCCCCCCTAGATCCCAAACTTGACTCCAGCCCCAGCCCATGCCTTAGTCTGGTGCCAGGTGCCACGCCCACCTGTTTTGGGGCTGAAGCTGCTGGAGCTTCTGCCTCTGCAGCAGTAGCTGGTCCTCCAGCTTGTCGGTGGACAGGAGGGTCTTCAGCATCTGGGCGTCCATTCTTGATGTCTGGTTCTGGAACTGCTCCAGCAAGCAGAAGCCAGTAGGGGACTACATAAGCCCTACAGGAGCCCTGGCCAACCACCCACCTGCCCATAGACCCTGCCACTCCAGAAACTCACTGACCCCTTCCCACCCTCCTGGTCAGTAGCTCCTGTGGTCACTCATTCACAGGCCCTAACTTAGTTTAGCTTCCTAGCTTAGCTTCCTAAATTTGCCTTTCCCCATCACTGCAATGGCTGCTCCATTCCCCCTGCCACTTAGGCCCCGGGAGCTGTCATCCCTGTCCCCCACATCCAACCCACCTGCAGGTCCTGTCAGCCCTACCTCCCAGGTGGCACCTGACCATTTCTCTCCTGCTCTGTGGCCTTTACTCTGACCCTGGACTCCCACCCTTGTTCCCTACAGTCCATTCTCTACTCATCCGCCTGGGGCTGCCTCTTAAAACAAGCTTGCTCTGTTCAGGATCTTCCTGTGACTCCCATCTCATGCAGCGGAAAAGCCCCAGTCCTCACCATGGCCTGCAAGGTCCTATAGTGTGATCTGTCCCTATCACTTCTCCAGCCCCTTGCCTGCCACTCTCCTCTTGCTTACTCCAGCATACTGGTCTCTTGATGTTCTTGAACCCACCAGCACGCCTCCCTCTGGGCCTTTGCATGTGCTGCATCCCCCGTCTAGCCTGGCTGCAGCCCTACCCTCTCCATGGCCCTTCCTGGCCGTGCTGTATGAACTCACAGCTCTCATCCCTCCCACCACTCCCAATGCACCCCCCTCTTGCTCTGTCTTCCACACTATTTTCTCCTTAGTGCGGTCACTGGCTAACATACACAGCCACGTGTTGCTTAACGGTGGAAAGATGTTGTAAGAAATTCATCATGATGCGATTTCGTCATTGTGCAAACATCACAGTGTGTACTTACACAAACCTAGCCGCCTACACACCTAGGCTATATGAGACAGCCTGTTGCTCCTAAGCTACAAACCCATACAGCACGTGACTGTACCGAATACCGTAGGCAGCTATACCACCGTGGGAGGTATTTGTGTATGCATATCTAAACATAGAAAAGGTGCAATAAAAACAGGGTGTGAGAATCTTATGGGCCTGCCGTTGTCTGTGTGGTAAGTTGTTGACTAGAACATCGTTAAGTAGTGCATAACCACATATGTCACTTATCTTTCCATTTCCAGGGGAAGCTTCACAGCAGTAGGAATGCATGCCTGCTTTGTTTCCTGCTATATACTAGAACAGTCCTCTCAAGCAGGGCCGGGCACACAGGGGATCCAACAAACAACGGGCAGAAACTTGTGTCCATTTGTTATTCGATGTTTCATCCACTGACTTCCCCACCCTCCCTTTTATTCACCAGTTCCCTCCCTGCTCTTTGCTGCTCAGATACCTCCTCTCTCCAAGTCCTTGGCTCCCAGAGGCCCAATTAATTATTTCTTATCTATCTCTCCCTGGTGCATTATAAGCCCCCTGAGGGCAGGGGGGCTGTGCTGCTCTACCCCTCCTCCCAGTGCCCAGCACAGACCCCAGCACTGAAGTTACAGAGGCAGAAAAGCCAAGTCCGCCATCTACCTCCCAGGACTCACAGCTTAGAGGGAGATAGTTTTATGACAAGGTCATCATAAAGGAGGGGCCCAGGGGGCTACAGGCCCAGAGGAGGCCTTGACCCTACCCGGGGAAGAGGTCAAGGTAAGATGATTGGGGCTACGAGCCAGCCCGGCCAGTCGCAGGCCCTCAGTGCCCACTCACTCACTCTCTGTTACCTGAGCCTCCATGTCTATCAGCTTGCGGGTCTGGGCAGTGGTCTGGTTCAGGAAGCTGGTGTCCAGCTTCAGCAGGGGGGCCATCTGATTCTGGACCATTTGCTGCTGGGCCTCCACCAGCTCCAACCTCAAGCGCGTCTTGATGGTCCTCTCTAGCTGTGGGAGACCATGGGCTGGGGTCACGGGGGAGAGGCTCGGGGAAGTCCCCTGTCCCTCCCACGTGTCTCCATGGAAGGGCCCTAAGCAGGCACAGGAGGCCTCCCTGGCTCAGAACATGCCAGGCCAGGTCAGGCCACCATTACCTCTTACCTGGACCGTCACAGTAGATGCTTCCCTGGGAGGGATTACATGCCTGTTTTGTCTGCCTCTCTGCCTCCATCCTTGTCCCCTTCACAGTCATCCCCCACTAGGCAGCCAGAGGAATCCTGCTAAACCTAAGTCAAGTCACACTCCTCCTCTGCTCAAAATCCTCCCAGGGTTCCTACCTCACTCAGAAAAGCCAAGACTGCAGGTTCCTCCATGACGGGGCCTGCCGCTATGCTCATTCTCTTCCTGTTCCCCTCTCCCTCACTCACTTCAATCCCGATGCAATGCCTCCATGACATCCCCCCAACAAAGCAAGCATGCGCCCCCCTCGAGGCCTTTGCACATGCTGTTTCCTCACTGTTCCCTCTGGAATCCTCCCCCAGCCCCGCACCCCATCTGTGTGGCACACCCCATCATGTTTCATACCACTTATCACCACTTGACTTTTTAAAATCGCTACCTCTCTTTTTATCTGTCTGTTGTCTGTTTCTCTCTCTAGAATGTCAATTCCATGAAGCCAGGGACTTGGTTTTGCTCACTATCTTGTTTCTGTGTTTGGCACAATGCATGGCACACAGCGAGTGCTCATAAATATGTGTTCAATGAATTGATGAAAAAGGGGAAGCAGCAAGGGTCAGAGCACGGCACCCAACCACATGCCCCTTCCCCACTTCCTCGGAGCGAGCCAGCCAGCAGGGAGTGGGAATGCATCTCTCCCTTGTACAAAGAGTTTGCAGGTCCGTTGGCCAAGCTGTGCTTTCTATCTTCAGGTCCCCTCCATCTGCAAATGGGTCTGGACTGGCCAGTCTCCAGGGGTTCTCCCAGCTCTGATGTTCTGGGATCCCATGTGCTAATGTTCATTTCTTTGACAGGGCTGCTCTCTTTCCCAAGGGCAGGAGAGTTGGTCTGGCACAGCACCAGGATCATGTTGTAAAGGTGGACAGTGTGTTCTCAGGGCTCAGTGCCTGCCGGGAGAGAGCCAGCTCCGCTCCACCATTCCCTCTCCATTTGGCACGCATGCTGGCCTCTCGCCACTCCCCCCAACCCTGTCCCTGGCTCCTTCCCTTGCCTTCTCACTCAGTCTTTCAGAAGGTCCAACTGGGCAGCTCCCAGGGTCCCTGGGGAGATGGGTGCTCCCCAGGAGAGGTGGTGACCTTTGCTCCGGCCAGGCTCCAGCCACTTCCTCCTTCATCTCTTCTCCCTTCTTTCATCTTGACTGTCCACTCCCATCCCTTCCTTCCCCTGGAGTGTTTCAAAGGGAGCGTGTTCCATGATCAAATCCTGGAGTGGGTGCTTGTGGGCAGTAGTAGTATTGGTTAGACCATGTTTCTCAAACTATGGTTCTTCCATCAGTATCAGCTGAGAGCTCATGAAAAATGAGAATTTCCAGGTCCCACCCCAGCCCTGCTGAACTGGAAACTCTTAACGGTGCCCAGCCAGCTGTGGTTAACAACCCCCTGGCTGCGTTAGACACTTGCTCAAGTGTGAGAGCCCTTGCTGCAGAGATGGCAGGGGGACTGAAGACCAGAGAGACCCCCTTCCTTCCTTCTCTGCATCATTAACCCACCCCCGCCCTGCAGAACACAGCGTGTGCTAACAAGTTCCATCTAAAAACTAACCCCACAGCCTCTCCGGCTGCTTCTCCAGTTTCTCTGGTCTCCTCAACACAAAACTTCTACAAGTTGTCTCCATACTCTCACCTCCACACCCACCCTCACTTAAAAAAAAAACCATAATGTTAATAATATAATGATGTTACATTTCACACATATAAAAAAGCACAGAGGCCAGGTGCGGTGGCTCATACCTGTAATCCCAGTTCATTGGGAGGTTGAGGAGGGTGGATCATTTGAACCCAGGAGTTTGAGACCAGCCTGAGCAACATGATGAAATTTTATTTCTACTAAAAATACAAAAATTAGCTGGACATGGTGGTACAAGCCTGTGGTTTTCGCTACCCAGGAGACTGAGGCAGGAGGATGGCTGGAGACCAGAAGGCAGAGGTTGTGGTGAGCTGAGATGGCACCACCGGACTCCAGCCTGGGCAACAGAGTAAGATTGTATAAAAAA